ATTGCACAGCAAGACCTCCAAAAGTGAAAAAGTGCAATCTATAATAAAATTGAACTTTAATTCATGAACGTTTAATCAATAATATAATTAAACTAGTTAAAGTGAACTTGACGCAGTGATGAACGTAAGTAGGAAGTGACTGAAAGCATAACTAGTGACCTGAATTGAAATTCGATTCACAAACTTTAATTTTTTTTTAAAAATTTAAATTTAAATTTTAACTTTTGACATTTAGAACAATTTTAACTTGTGTTTTATGAGTGAGCTTGATATATTATTGAGCGTGAGCCTGAATAAGGTACAGGGTCGAATAAGTGAGAAGACGAATGTGATTGCGTGTAATTATACAGCTGTGTTTGTACACCTGAGGATGACCTCTTGAGGTCGAAACATGTAGTATAATAATAATAAAAATATGTTGTGTGGTCGGTAAAATTGACTCTAATATTGATTAAATACACAACAGGATGCAAGAAACAATTAAAGTCTGACTTCTACTGGTCACTCCCTACTTATTAGGGAGTGACGCTGCTGGCTGCACTCACTCTTCTTCCTAACTGTGGTTCAGTAACACGTTACAACTGATAAATTATCACTGATCACATTCGTATCTCCAGTTACGCTTCGTTGCCCTGAACGAACGGGGGTTAATTTAATTCTCCAAATAAAATGCCTCTGAAACTTTTACTTCACAGAAATTGAAAGGTTTCTGGTCTTTAGATAATGCCGGCAAAGTCTTCGTGTAAGTGAAGCTAACATGGCTGAACGGTCACAGCACACAAACATCCGAGAGCAGATCGCGAATTACTGCAGAGAGGAATCATTTATCTTCACATTCTCTGCATCAAGCGTCTCATTAGAGACATAAATGTTGAAAAATGGCTTCTCTAGTGACAATGCTCAGACACTTGCTAGGACAGGGGTGGGAAATTACTACGAATTGCGAGCCACATCACCAGCTTAATTATTTAAGGGGCCATACAACGAATACATATGGAAGAGTGGACGTCTCCTTACCCTCGGCACTAGATGGAGATGAGTTGTCAGTTTCACGCTGGGTGGTCACCTGAGAAGAGACAATTTCTTCTGCTGAGAATCGACCCCGATTGCTCAGTAGTCCAAACTGTAGCCTAGTCAGTATACCGACTGTTATCAAGCTCTTCTTTATCCATGTAAAATTGTAAATGTTTAATTAACTCCTCCATTTGTACATAGACGGAACCGAGAATATATAATTAAGAACAATTTAAACAGTTCTAACTAAACAAAATACAGTATGGTTAAAAATTTAAAGTAAAATTGTTCCTGCATATTATTAAGCGCCACGCCATGAAGACGTATGGGGAAATGAAGTATAGTTCCACCATTCTTTACCTCGGCATTAGATGGAGGTAAGTGGTAAGCTATAGGTCCCTGTCGCGTTTAATCCCCCCCCCTCCCGGGTAAACAGGAGAAGGTACGTATTTATACAGGAGGCTGGGAGGGCCCCAGAGCCGGTCTGGACGCTGTTGAGTCCGAAAGGATTCCTTAACTTAATACTATTTTTACGTGTACGGAGTGACTATAGACGTGGTTTGGATTGGCGAATAGATTTTATTGACCACTTAGGGTCGTAACTACAAATAAATGAAACACTAACGCCATCTCCACATTTTACAATTCACTAGAGCACACAGTTTAGTGTTCTCAGCATGCTACTAGACGTTTCCTGGTTAACGGCCCCAACAATTGCTATTCCTCTGCCTCCGGCTCAAGCCCTCTCTTCATAGACTACCGTACACAACTGACTAAGCTCCAAAGTCACATTGCGACTGACGGTCAGTCAGTCAGTCTTGGTGTGGAGCCCAATCTGGGGCTTATGACCAGATATTTATTATTGTTTGACAGTTTCGGTCTTGCTTTGTGGGTCGCCCTCTCTGACGAGAGGACGGGTCTGTCTTCTGTCAGAGTCATTGTCTGCAATAGTAAGTCATTTGTCATAATGTAAAAGATATGTACATTTTACATGTTTAAACATGCTAATAAATGTATATAAAATATATACAAAGCCTCTGTCAGTCCAGGCTCAGTACAGCAGATTACGCCCTATTTCTAGTAGCTTCCGCTACAACGGCAGTCACTAAGCTCCAAACATTGTCTCTGGCTTATAACACCTCGGCAAGGACCACGTAGAAAACGCCGCTCTTCTGTTGCATGAGTATCCATTGCAGCGGGAACGTGTTCTGGCCGATCACAGTAGCCGAGAGGTCTAAGACATGAACAGTCTTCGCACGTTTGAGCACTGGGATCGTGGGTTCGAATGCCCATTCAAGGCATGAATGTCTGTGTGCGTTTATTCTGTTTGTGTTGTTCTGTATGTAGGTAGCGGCCTTGCGACGGGCTGATCCCCCTTCCAGGGAGTACTACCGACTGTATATAGATTAAGAAACCGAAAAAGCGGCGAAGGTTCAACAAAAGACTGTAGAGCCATAGATACATAGTTCAGTGTTCTGCTTAAAATACAATTAATCCTCCGCATTTCTGTTCTGGAGCAAATATGCGCTCGTAGTCACAACTTACATCATCGGGAATTGAACCCGCGAGCTTCTGGCAAGTGTCATAATGCCTTAACTAATTACGCTACCCTTCGCCCCCAGTGCCTTATAGGATCTCGGACTGCTTTGCCTCGTGCCCAACGTGTGTAGAGCCACCAGCGCGACTGCTTCATAAATCATATGCTCTGTGAGACAAATGTTAAAGCGGGCGGTACATATTGTGGTTCCATTTTTTTTATTAATTCGCTTAGTGGGGGGTGGAGTCCAACTGGGTCCACTCGGCACGGCGGCCACTGATTGGCCTATTGTAGTCTGCCCCGGGTGATCATGATGATGAAGAATTTGGTGGAATGAAGATTGGCAGAGGAAACCGAAGTACTCGGAGAAAACCCGCCCCAGCGCCACCTTGTCCACCAGAAATCCTACTTGACCAGACCCGGGATCGACCCCGGGCCGCCGCGGTGGGAAGCCAGCGACTAACCGCCTGAGCTATGGCGCGCGGCCTCTTGTGGTTTAACGCAAGAAATAAACTCGGTGAGGAAAGAAATGTTGCACATACCTGAGACACATGGATGAGCTTCAAGAAATATCCGTCTAGCGGTGGCCAGCGCAGAGACGACAGCCTTTTCCTCCGGGGCTTCGAGGGCAGCGAACACAACACCCCCAGTTACGAGGTACACCACGTAAAAGACTACGTACAGTGAGAGCAACAGCGAACTACGTCGAACTCCCAAAACTTGCCGTATGTGAGCTCGCTGTTGGTGAAGCATCAGCTGACACTCCTCGTCCGGTATCTTGGACGGGTACATGGCCATTGTCGCCGCGACGGTAAAACTCGTCGGTTACTTTTGGATAGATCGATGCGTTTTAATTTATTGCGTGGGGTTTACAGGATGGATACGTTATCTTCTGTGTTTTTATATGCGTTCGGACATTATGGTTACCTTATCTGCGGTGTTTGAAGTGTGATTTGATTGCTTTCGTTCTTTATTTTACGATAAAAGCGAATGTTCGCACTCTATTTTACGAAAACTCTCCAAATGATATTAACAAGTCTCTCAAATGCGGAACACACTGTTCTGATGTATGTGCAGCCAGCAGTAAACATCCGGAGCCTGCTACGGCAGTTTGCACTGGCTGCAAATTTGCTTTTATGTATCAGAACTCTGTAACAGAGAACTTATTTTCTCGTCTTCATATTTGTATAATCTACTCCTGCTATGAGATTTGTTTCGAAACGATATTTACTCAGGATGTATTTTCGTCTTCTGTGATTATATTCTTTATGTATCCAGCTATCCTTTAGGTAAAAGACACGTGTACACATAAGAATTTCTATGTAAAAATTTAAATATTCCACGATCGTTCTTGCCGATGACTGACAAAGATAACGATGATTTTGTGGTATTTTATGATGATTTGAGTCGAATTATAGCTGGCAGTTCAAGTCTTCTTTTCTTCACCTTACTGATAAAGTCACGATACACCACTGAATATATTAATGTAAAATATATTAACGATTTATGTTACTGCTAATCTTGATGAAATTGACTGAATGAGTGGCCAGCACAAGGAGCAAAGGGAACTATACTGTTTTGTTTACACGTGCTCTTCTACTTTATAAATGAGAGGTTCAGTGCTTTGGTGTAATCTTAATCGTACTGAACGAATGTGTGGTTCATTATGTCGCTGTTAATCCAGAAGCCGTTATGCATAAATATTAGAGGATTTGGTATGGCTTGGGGATTATTTGCTTTCGGCGGTATGTTGTTTCGCTATGGGATTTGAATGTGGAATGAGAGTGATGACGTTTATGAAGACGGTGCAGCTCAACTGATGTCAGCTTGACGAGATGGAGATATGTCCAACACTTCTACCCCACATTTTGCTGAGGTAAACAGCACACACACACCAAACGAAACTGTGTCTTCAGGCAGTTGCTACCGGAGTCTGCAGTCACTGCTCGGAAGTACACTCAGACTTGATGAGAAAATAAAGATCAGATCTAGTCATCCACTGCCTTTTATCACGTCATGCAGGGTGGGAGGAGGAGAACGTGTGTACACTGCATTCGTACCAGAGCACACCCCGCCGAACTCGTGATAACTGTGCTCCCACGTGACTCCTTACTTCTGCTTGTTTTTCGACGTGAACTTCAGTTTACTGTTCGGTTTATGTAATTATAAGACTCCAACGTGATTTGTCTTCGGGTTGAAGATTTATATACGTTACGACACAGTTCAAAAACATCGCTCCCAAGAGGAGATCAACTTCGTATTCGGGAGTTCCCGGGGTTGAGATCTCCTGGTTTTCCTTAGTTCCGCCGGGAAAATGCCGCCATTGTAATCAAATTAGGACATGGTCACTTCTTTCGACGTCCTTCCCATTTCGTTATTCACTAACAGTCCTGCCTTTCGAAACTATATATTCTGACAACCGACATCGTCCTTACATATCCACGGTATGGCTCTACAGCCCTTTGTTGGACCTCGGCCGTTTTTTCAGTTTCTTCATCCTATTCAGTCTTTAGGACGCCTTGGACGGGGGATCAGCCCGTCGCAAGGCCGCTACCTACACACAGAATAAACGCACTCAGACGTCCATGCCTCGAGTGGGATTCGAACTCACGATCCCAGCGTTTGAGCCAGCGAAGACAGTTCTTGACTTAGACCGCGCGGCCACTGTGATCGGCGGTCCTTACATATATGACAAATTAAGCAAACACCTTAGGCTGAGGAGCCTATATAGCTCATTCGGTATAGCGAGTGGCTACGGGTTGGACGGCCGAGGAGTCGAACTGGAGTCCCGGTAGGGTCAATAATTTTTTCTTCTCCACGTCTTTCAGACCGGTTCTGGGGCTCACCTAGCGCTCTATCCAATAGGTACCGGGGGTAAAGCGGCCGGAGCGTGAATCTGGCCACTCACCTCTATCTAGTGCCGAGGTCCAGAATACGCGGATTTGTACATCCACTCCCCCGTATATCTTTATGTCATAGTGCTTAATTAATGAAGCAAAGGGGACATCTTTAGGTTTACCGTGTAGGCTAATCAGGTACGTTTTGGAGAGACGTACTGCGTCTATCTTTAGGCCTACGGACCTCATAGTACGATAACACAGAACACCACAATAAAAGGCTAGGTACTGCAAAGAAGAGCCCTAGACAAGGCGGACACAAGGCCCCGTGGATTCTAATGGCTGTTTGCTTGGTTCTGTGTTCGGTCCATAGGCGTGGAACTCGCTCTATTACCATAAAACCTAAACTTAAACAGGAGTTCCGGGCAGAACTTCCATTGCATGTATTCGTAGACCTACAAGTTTAGTATTATTATTGTTGTTTTTCCATTATATCTTGTTTCTGAAGAACTTAGTAAGTGCCGACAGGCCTGCACATTCTTTCTACGTTAAGTTATATGGATATAACCTTAAAGTTTGGCACTGTTTCTATTTCGTGCATCCTGTTGTGTTATTCTATACAATTTCTTTATTAGAGTCCGTCACAACACAACAATATAAAGGTCAAGGCTAAAATTAGCTTGGCTACATGTTTCGGCTATTAAAGCCGTCATCAGGCAAACACATGAGTACCATATTCACACACTACTGAACTGCAATTGCGATTTTAAAGCTGGATACTTGATAATTATTCCATTATAATTTTTATTAATGTAAATATATTATTTTATAATGAGTTTATAGTTCATTGTACTTTTATACCATGTATTTTATAATGTAATAATTATCAAGTATCCAGCTTTACTATCACAATTGCAGTTCAGTAGTGTGTGAATATGGTAATCATGTGTTTGCCCGGCTTTAATAGCCGAAACATGTAGCCAAGCTAATTTTAGCCTTGACCTTTATATTGTTGTGTTGTGACGGACTGTAATAAAGAAACTGTTTCGCACTGTCGCCATATTTAAATTCTCGGGCGTGTAAGCAATATTTCAGTCATAATGTCTAATGTCCATTTATGATTCATTTCCTTATAAATTTTTACGTGCGCAGCTCCGTGGTTGGTCAGCTACCGCAATCAAACAGAGAGGTTAAGAAAATTTTATGTGGCCGCCATACTGCCCCCCCCCCATTGTAGAGATGTTACCGGAACAAAAGTTGCATATCTGTCGAAGCTGGGTCCCAAACATCATATTAGGACCTTATGTTGTGTCGCCCGTGGCACTCTGAACACACGAGTTCGTGCATCCGCCATATTGTCGTTATTCGTTACAGATAATTAAAAAGGCACGAAGTTTGGATGACCCCCCACTGGCACATAATTAAACAGTTGAAATGAGGTGAAGGACAAGAAGAAAACAAGTTAAAATATCTTGTTATTGTTGCGACATTTGGTCCACTTCAGATATGATCCTAATTTCCCAATGAAATCTGCTCGAATTAGCTACATTTCCGTTTACATCAAATATAATGATTATATGGCCATGACTCGGTCGCTAGATTCTCGTTTGTGAAAATGGAATGTGCCACACGAAGACTGTGACAGCGAACAAGTAGAAGATGTTCGTTATTGCCCTCATCTACCCGTTACGCACAGCTGGAGTGCGTTTCTTCCACGAAGGGCGCATAATGAACTGGTCGTGTGTGTATTTGCCCCTCTTTCGCTACCCGCTTGTTTACTTTCCGAAAGTCCTGAAGGCATTTAATTGAACGTGGTATATGTGTGTGTAGGTACACACTTAAAGTTGTTTTTTTCTGTGGCGCTACAGCCCCAATTTGGGCCTAGGCCTACCTCCATGAAAATCTCCGTTTCACTTCGGTTTACTAGATCTTACACATTCGGTAGGACTCATTGGGGGAGTGATCAGCTCGTCGCAAGGCCTCTACATGTAGACAAACACAGAAAAACGCACACAAACATCCATGCCCTGAGTGGGATTCGAACCCACGATCCCGGCTTCCGAGCGAGAGAAGACAGTGCATGCCTTAGACCGCTCGGCTACCGTGACCGGCTACACTCAGTTACTCAGTGAATTTAATAAGAAAATAATTCGATTGTTATTATTATTTGTGGTAGTGGTTGTAGTAGTAGTAGACAGTGTAGTTAATAATAATAATAACAATAACGATGATGATGATGATAATAATAATTCAATTCGTGTTTATTTACGTGCAAACTTAACAGCACAGAGGCCAATTGCAAAGTTAGCACTAATAGATAGAAGTACACAAAAATAATTAAATAACAGAATACAAAATATGACAGTCTATATTAATTACAAACTGAGCATGACTAATGATACAGAAACAAACGCACGTAGACAAAGCCACACTGTGACCACGAAGAACAATTCGAGTTTTTAAATAGAGCAGTGTACAATAATTCAAATTAAATCCAGTTCAGTTCATGTTTATTTATGTGCAAACTCAACAGCACAGAGGCCAATTACAAGGTTAGCACGAGTACAGAGAAATAGACAAAAATAATTAAAAAACAAAACAAAATTTGAGAGTCTATATAATGGCAATAAATTAATAATTATTCCAAGAAAAATTAAAGTTAACGTTAACAGGAGAGAAAAATAAAATAAGACCAATATACATACATACACACACGTAATATTATGTTAATACTCTTAATAATACGTGTGTATATGTACGTAATAATAATAATAATGAAGATAAAATATTCATTGTGCCTGCGCGCCATGCCTTCAGAGGTAAGGTGGGACGATGCGTAGACATTGGGTGGAAGTGAGTTTTATAGCTCCAGCCTTCCTTTCTGTATCCTCTAAATACGGGGTTGCGGCCTCAAGACCTGTGCTTTGTGTGGTAAAGTGAAGTTGCACTTAAAGTTAATTAAGCACGAAGCCATGAAGATGTGTCGAAGAGTGGAGAAATAACTCAAAATATATTTACCCTAGGCCCTAGGTGGAGATGAGTGATTAACTTCACGCCACGGCCGCTTTATCATCGGGGAAATAGTTCCCATTCATTGGATAGGAATTTGGGTTGCTCTGGAGAAGACAGAAACTTCCTGCCCCTCCCGGGAATCGAATTCCGATTGCTCTGTCGTGCATCTCATAGTCCAGTTGGTATACGGACTGGCCTTATGAGTATTGTCTATGGACCGACCTATCTTGGCTCTGTGTTCTCCATGTTAGTAACGAGAAAAATGCCAAATGTCTGTCGATTTGCTTTCTGAAACTGAACTGACTCGGAATTGAAGCCCAGGCTCCGTGATGAGATACCAGCGTCTGACCGCCTGGAGTGATGCCTTTAAGTAGTGCAACAGTTTGCTACATCTGGCCCCGCTTGTAGTGACGCTTATCGTGGGGTTAATGCGTTTTACTTGTAGCAGAATGAGAGATAAATGCTTTTATGACACATCATTGTTTTCCACTTTGTTGGATTTGAGTCTCTTACTGGTTACACTATGGGTTGTACCCTGCGTAGATCAGAGAGATCCTGAAGTTTCCGAGAAATGTACTGCCTCCTTCTTCAGGGCCGAAGAGTAAGCCAAGCAGGAAACTAGACAAAACAGTGGCGAGCTACAGGACGTTTCAAAGCAGAAAATCGGACTCTTAGGTTTCCCCCATTGTTAAATCATGTAGCTGAGCCTTTCTTGAGAAGCAGCCAATAACTGTACAGATGTTACATTAAGAACTTTTACCTGCTTTTTAAGCGTTCTTATTTAAAGTCCATAAAGCGAATGATTGTTATGAAATTTGCACCTCTCCATCCGTATATTTCGATTCCCATATTATTCAGTGGATTGCAATACAATTTGAAAAATATCTTCCGTTCAGATTGTCCAACAGAAATCTTGAATGCGTTTCTAGTGTATTGTCACTTATATGACTGACTGTAGCCGGGGTTTGGATTGGTGAATGGGTTTGCTGACCACTTATACACACCGCTCGGAACTACAAGTAATTACAGCCCCATCGCTAATCTCCACAATTTACAATTCATTGCTGCTGATACTAAGTCTTCTCCAGGCTGCAATGTCTTTACTAGACGTTTCCTGGCAACGGATATTAAGAGCTT